TTCTTGTACTATAGGTCTCATATCTTGAAAGCTTATTTGAGTGATGCTTATTTTTTAACATGCTTAGTGAACAGTTTTTGGTTTCGAATCAAAAATTTCTATGAAAAAAAACATCCTCATTAACATAAACTTTTAAAATATTTGATTTATATTATTTCTGTGTTAACTGGTTTAAAATCCATCTTTAAAATCATTAGAAACATATTTTATGACAGACTATTGAACTAGTGATTCATATTATAACACGTTTCAGCAGGAATTTTCAAATATTTCTTATCCACAATTTTATTACGATGATGCGATGCTGAGAGAAAATGAGACTGATCCGGGTGAACTAACTCGAACGTACTCGAACGATATACTAAACAGAGACTGGATCACAGTAGTAGTGTAGACAGTAATTACCGAAGACAGTGTATGATATTGCGCAACCCCGTGAATTGATTAAGTTAAACATTAACACCAGTTGATGCCGGCTCAGGGGTCGAGAGGTCAGGCGTTCGCGCACAAGACCGAAGGTCCTGGGGTCGAATCCTGTGGGGTGCAGTAGTCGTGGGTGCGCACTGCTGATGAGTCCCATACCAGGATGAAATGCCTGTCCAATGTTTCCAGGTTTCTAATGGTGGTCTAAAGTTGATCGATTCAGGGTTTCAAAATACAATCTTTACAACCCCGTAATAAAACTGAGTGCTTGGTAGATACATTGTACTTAATAAAAACATACATACGTAATACATATAATCCACCAATAAATATAAATGTGTTCTTTCCATTAGAAACCTGTAAATATGATTGTAAAAAGTATATTCAATACGAAAGGTGAAGCGGATAACACATGATACGATAAAATGATTATATATTAAAATGTTATTTAATCCAAGATGGTTCAAAAGAACAAACAAAATAAGTCAGTTAAAAAGTAACAGGTGGACAGAATAGAAGAGGATGCTGATGTAGTGGTGTCTGAGAACTGGAGGTTAATTAAAACTATACTAGAAGACTCCATTTTGTGTACATACTTTTAGTTAATCTAGATGGTAAGGGCTTCAACAATGCTGGCAAGTCAGAAGCTCACTGTTTCTATTCTTTACTGACTGATTCACGTTTAATTACGTTTAATTACACTTCATGTTAGCCTCACCGAATGTGTTTAAATCCTCATGGAATGAATTGATTAGTCAATATTTATACTACTTACTAAATACTTAGTAGTTGTAAATAATTAACTATTCGAACTTATTTTTATTAAATGATCCCAATCTAAATCAATATAAATGGATATAAATATCTATAAATTTAAATGTGACAAGCACATCAACATTCATTTTTTTTAACATATTTATTCCGTATTTAATGAGTTATTTATCATTTATTAATATAAACATTTATATATTTAGTTGGATAAATGATTATTATCATTATTAGCCTAACAATTTTTATTACCTGTTTTTCAACATAGATAATGTGAACAATGACCTTCTCATGTTTGTTATAATATTAGCTACGAATAAATTTGCATAGATTTAAGTTAAATAGTTAGAAATGGTTGATAGATTTGAATTTTTAGTCATTGGCACAATTTGTATAAACTATTCAGTATAGCTTACTTAACATAAATGATTATGTGCCGAATATTGAAAATTAGAAATACAGTACACTACATTACAGTATAATGGGATATGTTTTGGTCGTTATTAGTACATTAGGTGGTGAAAATTTAATTCAATGGGTTATCTATCATAAATCAACTAGTTAATCAAAAGACATACAGATAGATAGATAGATGTGTGGATAGATAGATAGATAGATAGATAGATAGATAGATGTGTGGATAGATAGATAGATAGATAGATAGATAGTGAGTGAGTGAGTGAACCAGATTATGCATATATATCTTGAGGTTCATATTATTCAATTGCGCAATAAATTACCTTTGAGGTATTTTGAGTGCTTTTCTTGTCACTATGATTGAAATTGAAAATTTAAATCATTGTGTTTTGTGTTTAACTTAACTAAGTGTATAAAATAATATTGATACTGATTTTTGATGTTATAATATATATCAGGATATCTGAAAGTAACATACCTGTTTTCAGAGTATGAGTAGATTCATTTATAATGTGTATTCATTAAATGACTGATTTATTTCTATGTTATACATTCATTTGACTTACTTTTTATTGGCTGAGATTATCATTAAAAAGCTCCAGCATGATACATGTGTTGTTTTCAGGAGTTTCAAACATTTTTCATTTCATTTATTAGATGAGTATTGAAGACGTTAGATCCCTAGAACTCACTTGATAAAGGCCTTAATTTTGGATTTTTATTCATGGGCTGACCGATTGACCTTGAGATCACATTTCCCATAGGGGAAATCCTTGACTGTGATTGGTTGATGTGTTATTTTAGTAAGCTATTTTTGTGACTATTCCAAGGACGTTTCTATCATGTATAATTAAACGCGATTTGTGTGCTTGAGATCATTGTATTTGCTGGTTGCTTGTAGAATACACTTTCTACTCCATATCAAGACTTTCTTCAGTTAGTTGTTGCAACGAATCGGAGTAGCCTACCGTGTCACTGGTTCATTGTCTTGTTCTCGTTTATCGACTAAAGTGAACTCGTAATAGCATTCAAGCATATCAAGTGATGAGCATAACAGTGAGTGATGTATATTAGAGGATAAATTTCATTACAGGTTTTATGTCAAGCAGTTGAAATAATCTTCAATGGTCTTTGATGAATATATCAGTGCAGTGCAGCCAATTTAATAGATGCAGAACACAAATATAGTAAAAGTACGGTTTTTAAAATGTCTAACATTCACTCATGAAATGAATCGAAAACTAGTTTAAATTAGTGGGCAACATCTAGCTAATCATAGACTTATCATTTAGTTTCGTCTCTCAACTATCACAATGTCACGTATATGCTAAGTTTTATTAGTTATGATTTATCGTGATGATCTTGTATTTTTTTTGCATTATGTAATAACTTCATTCATTAAGTTTGTACAGTGTGAAAAGATAATTGGTTTATAATCAGTTTTTATTATCTAACCGATCAGTTATGACATTTTTAAAGATTTTTCACAGCCTTGACATTGTAACCTATAATTTTGTAGTAGTGAACTGTTGGCTGGCTATACGTGAAAAAATTCATTCGAAGAATTCATGAATAACTGTAAATAACTATGAACTTGGAAAAGAACTAAGCATTCAGCTCTATTGTTTGTTAGTTTAAGGATAAAAATCTTATTCTAACTGTTGAAACGATTTCATTAAAGGTGCTGATGAGTCCCATTTCAGGACGAAACGGCCTTCCAGTGAGTGCTTCCAAGTTTCTAATGTTGGTCTAACAATGATCGATTCATGATTTCAAATGTGTAACTCAACAATCTTCACAACCCCGTAATGTAAATGTGATTGCATCAACAAAGTTCTGGCTACATTAAGAACAATTCATGGATAAAATTGTCTATAAGTTTCATTTTGATGATTATTTTCAAAAATGTAATTCTATGCGATTTTCATTAATGAATTAGTACACAATGTTTATATCAAAATAACTAAATTTAATCTCTATTCACATTGTGCATGTTCTATAATCATGTCAATATAGAATAAGTTTGAATTAAAGTGAAATAATATCCATCTACTTTGTGTTGTTTTTGTTTTACAAATTATTCAAATTTCATTTTTATTCTGATCATTTCATGTCCAATGATCAATATTTAGCATAAAACGAGTTCATTGTGATCTATCGATATATATACATATATATACATAAAGTTAGTGTGAAAATAAGTCAAATCACCTTGTTAATAAACGTTAATAATGTACTTACATTACGCAATTGTGAAGATTGTTAAGTCACACATTTGAAATCATGAATCGATGAATGTTAGACCACCATTAGAAACCTGGAAACACTGGACGGCCGTTTCGTCCAGCAGTGGACATCCACGACTCCTGCAACTCTCCGGATTCAAACTCAGGACCTTCGGTCTTGCGCACGAACGCCTAACCTCTGGACCACTGAGCCGGTATCTAGTAGTATCAGTGTCTAACTTCGATCAATTCACGTACTTATATAAATTACAAATGTGTTATTTAAGTTGTACTTGAAGTAATCATTTAAAGAACATCCTAAAAGAGTAGTAACTTTCAACTTCTTCGCATGCGACAACTATATGTACCACCGCTTATCAAACGTTTCCATTTTAAACCAAACAGATATCAAAGGAATTAATTTTTAAGAATGATTAATTTGAGATGCAGTTAAAAATTATTAGGATGATTTTCGTTACAAAATTATCTAAGATAAAGTATGATTGTAAACTATGTAGCACTGGACATCTGGTTTGTTTTAGTTTGAAAATCGTTAATAGCGCACACCTAAAACTTCATCAAAGATTTCATCTGGAATTATCAAGCCCCATGATGAAAATTTTACTTTTTGACTATTCAATCTAGATCTAATAGTCTACAAGTTCACATTGAGTCAACCAATAACGCGATGATTGTTCAGTGCATAATGGCAACACTAACAATCATGCGTTTTCATTAGAATTTCGAAAAAGCAGCTAAGAAATACAGTACTTACTTACTTACGCCTGTTACTCCCAATGGAGCATAGGCCGCCCATCAGTTTTCTCCAACCAACTCTGCCCTGGGCTTCCCTCCCCAGTTCTGTCCAATGTTTGTTCATTCCTCTCATATCTTTCTCTATTTCTCGGCGTAGTGTGTTCTTTGGCCTTCCTCTTTTCCTTTTGCCTTGAGGGTTCCATGTGAGGGCTTGTCTCGTGACGCAGTTAGGAGCTTTTCGTAGTGTGTGTCCTATCCACTTCCGCCGCTTCTTCCTGATTTCCTCCTCCACTGGAATATGGTTTGTTCTCTCCAACAGTAGCTCTTCAATTAATTGCTCACTTACAATGCTCTGATAATTTATATTATTCAATGTTCAATTTTTCGCCCTTTTTATTTTATTACTTCTAGCTTATTATCAATGGGTACCATTTGTACTTGGCTTACAATGTATATTATTTTATATTCCACATATTGCTTGGCAAGCTGCTTGTGCTTGTCGTACTGGAGGTGATATGTTTTCATTGGTTAAATCAGTGGCAGATGCTGCTATACTATGTCGAGATGATCGTCAGAAAGCAGTAGCTCGTGTAGCAGAATTCATTGAAGATATGATTGATACGCATAAAGAATGTAGACGAGTAAGTTCTTTTGAATGTGCATTTTACTGAGTTTCACTGAGTTTTAATGGTGAGAATTTCTAAAGTTGTTAAAGAAGATACTTTTAAATTTTCTATAAAATAAATACTATGTTTATTTACATAAAAAAGGGTCAAATACGACCAGCAATCGAGTGTAGGAAGCGCGATGTATCCTATCTGTGACCCATCCTGGATTCCATTGCCACCCACATTCCGTCTATTCTATGCATCTATGTATCATATTGGTTATGTGGGGATAATCTTCACAGGTTGCACAAATGTCAACTGAGACTGATCAAACTTTAGTCAAAGTATAAACAATGAGATAGTAGTGTAAACCATTATAGATTATATGTTTATTGACGTACTATTTTTTGAAACGATTGGAAATCGATTGACTGGACTCAAAGTTAAGATATATATTTGATAATTTCCTTAGTTCAATCTAAGAAATGCCATTTCTCAGTTTGTGCAAAAGTTATAATGAAAATGTAGCGACATCAAATAGCTTATTAGTTCATAAATGATATATATTCATAGAATAAGTCAAATTTTTTAATGTACTGAAGTTGACTAAACAGCATTTCTCGTCAACGGTCTTCAATAGGTGTGTTTTTTCAATAGTAATATCAAAAAGTGTTCAGAAAACTTGCAGTAAAGATAGATTTATTAAATTTAACTTTTTATACTACTTAAGCTTGTCAGCGACTCTACAACTATCACGTGACGACAGATGTTCTTTCAGTTATTTACTTTTTTGAATACCTATTTGGGATAGACATGATTTTTCTAAGTGGATGGAAAAATAGCTTGAATCAAACGAGCATATCGACATAGTACTGACGATTTCATAACAACACACTGGCTTGCATATTTTTGGTCTGTTAGATGACGTTTACAAACAGTTGAAACGTTGTTTTCCATGCACTTCTTTACAAATGGTAAGCGCACTTCTGAATACTTAGATAAAGCATTCATGAAGTATGTAGGTGGAATTTAATGTAATCTTAGTAGTACTTGAAATTCCTGATCAATTGGTTGAAACACTAATCTTTAGTTATGCTTTACTTGTACATAGCGTTTTAAAGAATCTCATTTGAATAAATATGTGAACGAGATGTCATGATTTTCACTAAAATGTCCATTTTTTTTAAATGAAATCTGATAGAATGAGCTAAAAAAAACAACAGAAAAGCGAAAAAGTAAAATATAAATTGCCTGACTACCTTTTAAATTGTATTATGAATAACCTTGTGAGATGTTTTGTCTTAAAATTTATACTTTTTTATTGAGTGGAGAATTCCCTATAGCGGCTAAACATGACAAGTATTTTCAATATGACAAAAGTTATGTAGTATTTATTTGATATTGCTTTTTATGTTACTTTATAGTAATGATAGTAGTATAGTTATAATAACCAATTCACACGATTTTCATCACATTTGATAATCATATAGGAAAAATAATGATAATTTAACCTCATAATAACCAAACGAAGTTCAAAATTTCTCGTAGTAAATAACCCATATGATTCAATGGATGATTCTTTTCATTAATTTTAAAAAAAATGGAAAAGGGACTCATCAGATATTATATGTTTCCACTTTAAGGTCGAAACTATTCCGTCATTTTAATTAAATTGTTCAATAATATTGATTGATGAAGATGTAATGTATTTCAGATTCCCTGGTCGTGTTTCGTTTTTTCTAACTTCTACGTTAAGCGCGAGCTATTTAGGTTGAGCTCAGTTAAAATTACGGAATGACTTTCCTAATGCAACCATTGAAGTCTTAAAGGTAATGGACAGCTCTTTTGTCCTAGTATCAAACTCTTGAAAGGTACTCTGTTGACTGAGTCTGAAACCTTCAAATATCGTGGTAAACTATTAACTTCTCAGATCATCCGGTAGGAATCCAATGGTGTACATTTCTAACTTCAACTCATGTACGATATTGTGTAACCGCCTACGAACCCTGCCTGTGATCTGATTGAGCTTCACTGCCCACACCTTCAAAACAGAACGCCAGGAGTTACCTCTCAAATTATTCATTGAGTGTTCAATTTCGATTAGTACTTTACTAGGTTGAAATTACGATTCCGTACTTTCTAGTATAGAACGGTTGTTTATTTAATAAGGTCAATTTGTGATATAAACAATAATGAACATAGGATTATCAATCATTTAAAGGTTATTACATTAAAGTTATTTAGTTTTTGTATGTTTTAAGTGTCAGTATCTACCTATCTTAAGTTAAGACGCCCATAATTTACTGAGTTTTTCGTGAACCTTGGCGTTCAAGGATTGTTTGGGACGTCAGATACCCAGAACTCACTTCACAAATGTCCTAATTTTGGATTTTATGCTTTCGAGCATGTGCTGCTCAGTTGACCTTGAGAATACATTTCCCACCCTGAAAATCCTTGACTATTATTGGTTGGTGCATCATTTTAGTACGCTACTTTTGTGTCTCTCTCAACGACGTTTCTATCATGAATAAATAAACTCGATTTGTGTACTTGTAAACCTCATATTTTCTGGCTGCTTTTAGAATATAGTTTCTACGTTATATCGAGGCTTTTTCTTTAGTTCCTTTGGAGCAGCGGATCAGAGTAGCCTATCGTGTCACTGGTTCATTGTTTCGTTCTCGTTTATCGAGTAAGGTGAACATATCACTCTGACGAGCATAACAAGTATAATGAATCTGTTAGCATTGGACTAGTTAGTGACTCACAACCTGTTAACTGTAAAATTAAATTGTTAGTGTGTAGATTGTTCTTTCTCAACACATGATAACATCCCCCTCTATAGATATATTCTATTTAGAAGTCAGCAAAGGTAACACCAGTCCAAAAACTATATGTCATCTCCTCATGAAATTGGAGTTTAAATAATGATATAGAATGGACAAATTTGAATAACAAACATTTGAGACTCATTTATCTTGATTTTCGTTTGGCATTCAAAGTGGAATTGTACAAGGTTCGTGTCTTGGTGTAAGTATCAACAAATGGATGAGGTCACGCAAAATCCCTAGATCAATCAGAGTTAGACATTAACACCGTTAGAAGCCTGCCCAGTGGTCTAGGGGTTAGGCGATCGCACACAATACCGAAGGTCCCGGGTTCGAATCCTGCGGGGTGAAGGATTCGTGGATGCGCACTGCTGATGAGTCCCATACCAGGACTTGACGGCCGTCCAGTACTTTCAGGTTTCTGATGGTGGTCTAACAATGATTGATTGATTGATGATTTCAAATATGTAAATATCAACACCAGATTTTCTGGTTTGTCCGCAACTTGTAACTAGATGTTGCCATCTAAACAGTCCTCTCAGGTTACTATATATGCCAATAGAGAATGATCAATTACAGTACTTAATATCAACAACCAGAAATTCTAAATTATTACACACATAATTAATTAATGTTGAGTTGTTTAGTTCCAATTATCAAAATAATAATCATAATGATAACAACTTAATTGTAAACTGCTAATCTAACTGTCGGTTCATTCTCTTTCTCTCTCTCTCCCTCTGTCTGTCTTCCTGTCTAAAAGGGTAGACGTGCTAAACTAGCTAAAAAAGCTGTTCAAATTGGTGGCATATTTGTAGCCAGTAAACGACTTGGTACACATTTGATTTTCTCTTATTTATGCGTAAAAATTATTACAATTATTAATGCTGCATTACAAATATTCCTAATACAACGTTTTCTGGGCTTCTATTCAAATGGCAGTGCAAGTCGGCATAGTTTACAATTAGGTAAAGGAGATGATATTAAAGCATGTAAGTGTTTTGTTATTGAACATACTACTCATTGATAATTGTTGTTATTTTAATTATTTTTTGATAATAAATTGATGAAAAGTTGGCCAAATATATGCAAAATCTAACTGCCTAACTGCTTCTAATAATTCCAGGCTAAATCTGTAAAGCAACTTGAACACAAGCGAAAAACACAGTACTCAAAGGTGGGTTCTTGGATAGAAAAGTGACGATATTTATAGAGTTACACTTTACCTTGAGCTCCTGGAAGTTTCTTTAATCCTACGGAATATAGTAGTGGCGTAGGTAAATATCTAATTAAACACTTGGCACATGATTCGACATGTCTGAGATACTTCTACGAAGGTTCTGCTGAACGCTGACTGGACATAACATTTTCAGGCGCTTTCTGGGCGTGTTTAGACTTTTCCGAGCAATACTCAAGAGCTCTCCAACAATCTCATTGAGCATTTCATTTATTATTATTAGAATTAACAACCGACTGATTACTGCGTAGCAAACAATGTCCCATATAATAGATTCATCTTAATGCAGATCGAATTCTATCGATCAAGTTGCAGCGTAGCCACTAATGTAGGTGACTGAACATGGCATGCATTGTGTTGAGATGTAAGATGATGATTGGATGTAGTCAACAGGAAACCATGCTCGACCTAGGTTTCATGTTATTTTCCTGAATTCTCTTCTGAACTCGGACCTCTTACTTTCTGGGTGTTTGTAGAATACATGTTCTACTTCATATCAAGTCTTTTTCTTTTACTCAATGGGGGTTTGGGAAGCTCGAATTAGGGTAGCCTGTCGTGTCGCCGTATCCTCGCTCTCGTTTTCCGACTAAGGTAAACTCTTAATAGTTCAAGCATATCAGACTGACATGTTTACGTGCATGCTTAACACGATCGAAAATTATAAAGTCAACCGGTTTATGTGAATATTTGCCACAGTGAGTTAGTACTGATTAGTGATTACGGCGAGCCTTTCTTAACTTATTTATGCGACAGAAATAAGACTTTCATATACTTTTATTACTCAGTTATTGTTAACTAGACATACAATTGTGTCAGAATAATTGAGCATATGTCTGCACCTTAACATTTTTAATCAGTTTTCTAATTGGTTGTAAACATCAGTAATCAATAACTTTGCCTACGTCTTGATTAACATACACATATAACTGATTCCGCCTATTGATTCTCCATTTACTCACACGCTTTCAGGTGTGTTTGTCTACATTGTGTGTCTTGTGGATTTAATTAATTATTGGCGGTAGACACTAACTGAAACAACTGGTGTTCTGATTTCGAAATGTTCTTAAGTAAATTCACCATAATACTAAGAGAACTGATCAGCTAAGGTATACCATTAACTGGACAGTATATTTGAGTTAAATAATATAGAGGAAATAACCTCTACATTGTCATTTGAACTTTAAGAACTTTAAGAAAGAACAGTCACTTTGTACAGTAAGCAAAGATGGATGGTGACTAGCAGTGGAATCTAGGGCACTGGTTTCATCCTATTTGTGACTCATCATCTGGGTGTACCTGCATCCCAGAGTTGCTTTTCATTCCGGGACTGGAACCTAGTACTGTCTGCTTCAAACTCTATTGCATAATGCGCTTATCTACTGAGTTCAGATAGTCAGTCAGTGCCTTGTGCAATGAAGTGAAGTCTGATTCATTTGTTTGAATGTTCCTATTGATGCAGATACATCGAGCTAATAAATCCCAGATAAGACGAAACTGGAGTCCTAAATCCCATTACTCACCACCATACATCTCTGTTCATAATGTTTGTGACTTAATAACAATATCGAGGTAATCCATACAAGATCCATAGACGCCAAAGGAGACTGATCAATTACAGTCATAAACACGACTAAGATGATTCCAACAATCAAATATAAATGAATTCATTATTTGGTAATGCCAATTTTTTAGGCACCTCATTAGTTTGCAAAGCTTTCTGTTATAACTCTCTCTTTATTATTTTTTGTCATGTTGATTCCATGTAGATACACACTTTCTGTCTGTCTTGAAGCATCTACTGTGTACGTATGCTCTTTTGACTGTCTTCTCTTTCTAATTCTCCAAGTTGTCTTAAATTTACGTTTTTATAAATCACTTAAATTGACTCTTGGTGTTATACTACTATCTAAACCATAGTGATAGAACTGTTTGGGTTAACAAGCCCTGTGAGGTTATGCAGAATGATAGCTTTTCAAGTTGAATCTGAAGTATGTAGCGTGTGTACCGGTATGTTGAACCTATATGGTTTGTTCCAGCTTTCGGACAAACTAATAAACTTTTTTCCAACCGAGTTATTATTCACTCGCATTTCGACCTTGTCAATCATCCGCTCATTTGCTGGTTGTTTTTGCTTGAGTATGTGTATGTGCGTGCTTATTTCACTTATCGCAAATCTAGGTTCGCTTTTTCTGACTACACATATTTAGCCATTTCTGATCATATTGATTTGTCTCACTTGCTTCCTCCACTTAGCTTCGCTTTGCTTTTACGCTTCTTATACTCATGTCTGACTGCGTGAACGATTGTATGAAATAAACTCATCCAATTGAATCTATATTCGACTTCGTGTAACCATTGTCACACAAATTGAGTTCACTTAAGTATGATATAAAGGGAAGATTTATTGCATAGCATACTTAATCTCCCACACAAATTGCATTCAGATTGCAAGTCACTAAAGTGATGAGTCCAGCTTTGGAATTAACGCAGCCATCAAACATGGTAACTTTCTCAACTAATATTTGCACAATTAATCTCATAACATATTGGTTAATAATTTTTGTTTTACAGTACAACAAATCAAAATTAGTTAAACAACTAACCATTAAAAGTTAAAGGATATTGAGTCAATGTTCTATTCTAGAATCAGACCCCTCAGAGATATTCAAACTACATACCATCTTCTCGAGAGATTAGGCGTATGAACATGTAATATATTTATGTCACAGTTATGCTCGTCACCAGTTGATATGCTTGAAACTATTATGAGTTCACCTTACTCGGTAAACGAGAGAGAAGACAAAAGATACAGTGACGCGATAGGCTACTCTAATCCGAGTGTCCAAACGCCCCCACAAAGTACAGGAAGTAGTCTTGATAAGGCGTAGAAAGTGTATTCTATAAGCACCCAGAAAATCGAGGTTTTCCAAGCACACAAATCGAGTTTATTTATATATGATAGAAACGTTCTTAGGAGAGCCACAAAAATAGCGTACTCAAATAATACACCAACAAATGACAGTCAAGGATTTTCCGAGTGGAAAATATAATCTCAAGGTCAACTGATCAGCCCATGCGCGAAAACATGAAAAATCCAAAATTAGTACTTTTATCAAGTGAGTTCTATCCCCAACAGTTACTCAGTTGAAATTCAATGTTTTGTCATTTGTAACTTCAATAATAATATATATTTATTCATAGTGTATTCTAACAGTTGTGTGTATGTGTTTGTTTTCTTCTCTTTTTCATCAATTCTAGTAAATGATTTATCTTCTTATTCAACTAATGAAAATGTTGAAGGTTATGGATTCGGCTTAACTGTTGTCAATCATATACGTGCTGGACGTGATTGGCCTGAAACTATGCTATTTCCACGTGTTGCTTATTGTCGTGTACCAGGCATTAGATTAGTTGGTGTGAAAAATTCTTATACAGCACAATGTGCACTACCAATAAATATGTTAAATGAAAAAATTTATATTTTTTTTTGGTTTTGGATAATGTTCTTAATGATTACATGTATTTTTAGTTTAATACTATGGCTAGTACGTATGATTATTGCATCGAAACGTAAAAATTTCATTAAACGTTATCTTCGTTTAAAAGGTGTTGTTGTTGCATTGAAAGGCGATGATGATGCAGTAAAACAAAATGATTTCAATGAATTTATTGATCATTATCTACGTCCTGATGGTGTATTCATTATACGTATGTTAACAATTAATTGTGGTGATGTAATCACTGGAGAAATTGTTCATGAATTATATCAAAATTTTCTACAGCATTATAATGATTTACATAACACAACAACAGATGATTTAGCGAAACCAGAAAAAATTGGATTTGATAATCTTGTTTAATTGTTTAGTATTATCATTTTCTCCATCTTTTAGTTGAATATTTTGTATTTTGAACCATCAGATTATCGATTGTTTTTTTTTCACCAAATAAATACTAACTAACTAGATAACAATTGTGAAATAAAAAAATCAAAAGCCAACAAACGAGATAAAAAGAAAATATTAATTAATCACTTTTATTCCACCATCATCATAGTAGTTTGATTATATTTTCTAATTGATTTATTGATTTACTGCATTGTTCCTTCTCTATGCTGAAAACAATTTTCAGTGAAAAATAAAATTGAACACTGAACATTGATCATTGAATAAAAATAAAAAAAAACACTTGAAATCTGTTCAATGTTACATATAGTCAATAATGCATGTTTGATTAAAAAAAATGTTAGGGTATAATTATTAAGCTTTATGAAAATAAATTACATACACACACACACACAAATACACAGTTTTTTGATAATTTGTCTAATGATTTTTTTATTTTTCTGAGAAAACAAATTGTTAAAATTCATGCTTTTACCTACTAAATTGTATGTGACCTTTCCTACTTTTTTTTTTAAAAAACAACATTTATGTATGAGAATTACTTTGATATAATAAATCAGGTTAGTACTATTAAGTCTTGTGAATATTTTTTTATTTCAGTCAATTATATTAAAAGATTTGTTTGTAGATTCTATAGGTGATACAATGAATGAACATTGGAAAGTAAACAGTACTAGTTAGCTGTTTCGTTGTAGAATAGAGCAACTTATTATCAGTGTGCACTGACTGTCTTACTAGAGATTTATTGGGTTCGTCACTAAGTATGCTTGAGGCTATTACGAGTTTACCTTAGTCGATAAATGCGAATGAGACAAGGAACCAGCGTCCAGGTAGGCTACCTTGAATACCCAAATAGATTAAAAAGGCTTTGTAAGCGTAGGAAGTATATTCTACAAACACCCAGCAATCACAGTACAATCAAGCATACAACTCTCGTTTATTTATACATCATAGAAGCGTCCTTGGGACAGTTAAGAAAATAGCATACTAAAATACACAGCAGTCAATCACAGCCATGGATTTTCTTTGGTGGGAAATGAAATCTCAAGGTCAAGTGATCAGCCCATGCTGTCAAACGTGTGAACCAAAATAAGGCATTTATCAAGCGGGTTTCGGGAGTATAACATCCCAAACAAGATTGAATACAGAAACTGTTATTTAAAAAAATATTTTTTCTCAGCCATTTCTTTTGTGTCATATAATATGATAGGATCTAATTGTAGGTAAGTGCTTACTGGTTTAGTCTTGTTGTTTGAAGGTTAGCTATGTGTTGTATAGGAATTTATAGTGTTTAGAGATTGATCGAATAGTATTGCAATGTGTGGGCTGTCAGTAGTTATTGTCTCAGTGATCAGGCTTTAAATAATTGAAATACAACATTACCTTCATTAGTATGTCGATCAGTTTAATTGGAATCACAGAGATAATCTGTGGATACTTCGCAGATACTATAACATATTTGACAGTTGATAGGTTGGCTGTTTAAAGTGAAATAATGTAAGGTTCGTCACTAGCTAGTTCAGCTTAGTCGATAAACGCGAACGAGACAATGAACCAGCGTCCAAGTAGGCTAGCTTGATAAGCGTAGAAAGTATATTCTACAAGCACCCAGCAAGCACAATACAATCAAGCACATAACTCTCGTTTATTTATACATCATAGAAATGTCCTTGGGACAGTCACAAAAATGGCACACTAAAAACACAGCAGCCAATCACAGCCATGGATTTTGCTGGTGGGAAATGAAATCTTAAGGTCAACTGATCAGCCCATGATGGCAAACGTGAAATCCGAAATAAGGCATTTATCAAGCGAGTTCTGGGGATCTAACGTCTCAACGAATAGACATTATTTCTCAATGACATTAACTGAGGCTTGTGATCTTCATAGCTAGTTCATAGTAAGCAGGAGTAGCTGCAAAATCGGCTTTTCTGGAAATTGTAATAAGTCATGCAATACGAGCTTTGTTCCAGTTACGCATGCGCGTAAACACGTCATTTTGATATGTTTGAACTATTACGAGTTTACTTTAGTCGGAAAACGAGAGTGAAGATCGAGAATCCTGTGACACGACAGGTTACTCTAATCCGAGCGTCCTAAACCCCTACTGAGTTAAAGAAAAAGACTTGATATGAAGTAGAACATGTATTTTACAACCATCCAGAAAGTACGAGGTGCGAATCCAGAAGGGAATCAGGATCCCGGACTAGGGATCCGGGACCGAGCGCTGGTCCTGGTCGTGGTCATAAAACGTCCCAGCTAATGCGTATTTATACAGTTAGGTCGAATAGGAATCAACATTGAAGTCTGTAACATTGACAATTAGGACGACCAATAGGAACTGACCAATAGAATTAGACTTACAAACAATTATCTTAGGATATTGGATGAATATCCTAACAGTTCTATTATTCAAGATGCTACCCACAACTTCTACCCATTCAAGCATGAGTACTCTGGTTATTCTCGGTGTCATATATTTTAAGTTGATGGAACAGTGTAGGTCGGTGTTACACTTCATCTGAAGTAGCGTTTTTACATGTTATCATTTATCTAATGAGATTTTGTGGTCTTATCTCATCTTTTGATTGCAAAGATAGACTAGTTAAATAAATTCCATATTTAAGTATATTAGTATGGGTCATCCAAAATAAGACAGAAAAATATCTAATGTTTCGACATTAATAAAAAGATCAATCGTTTAGTTTCATCACTAACCCAAGCCATGGAATATCATCTTAAATTTCTTCATAAAGATTTAAAAAGAGATCGATAGATAATCCGTAGAATTTAGCTATATCAGTCACACACAGTTTAACTGTAGAAATTGAATTATTATTCATTATCCACACGTCTACTGGTATATGAACTAGCCATTAAGGCCACCTCAACTCTATTTTTTGTTCGAGGTTTACCAATATCGAAATCGATGATTTGTCTCATAAGATGGTAATGTATATCAAAAAAATTTCGATTCGCGAGGTATCAAAGACGTTTACATTCTTTAATATATGATCGAAGAAGAACTACTCTCTGAAGAAGAACTATTTTATGCTGTTCCGGAGTTGCAATGAGATCTGTCGAGAAGTCAGCACAAATACGTTTTTGTGGTGTGTCTGTTTATTGCGTGTTCTTAAGCTCAGTTTATAAATCAGAACATGAACTCGTAGTGGTGAATACGTTTATTCGTGACACACCACAAAGCAAAGCAGAGAAGCAGTGAATAAAGCGAATGGGCGAATGAAGTGATGTGCAGAAGGCTAAGAGCCAATTCAAAGAGATAGAGTATGACTAAGAATATAGTCAGACAAAAATAAGACAGACATATGACAAGCGAAATAGGCGTGTACACACATGAATAAAAGCGATGAATGATTGACAAGGTCAAAAGCAAGCGATACAAATCATGTGAGTTCATGGGGATATTAAGCCCTTAACATTAAAGCGAAAAGGATGAGTAAGCGCGTAGGCGTAAACAATGCTCAGTCGTATAAGCTCATACAAACCAGATAATAAAAAATACCAATGGTACATATGAGTTGTTGCTATACAAATGACTTGGTTAAATAAATTAATCGAAAGGGCTTAACCAAGTTAGATGTAAGAGAACTGGAATATAGTGGAGGCACTACAACGTATCGTGTCGTTGGTGCTACCCAATCAGAGTAAGAAACGGGTGTAATGATTCCTTGTTGTTGAAGGCAGTTCAGTTCATCATCCACTGTTGGTAATGTTACATAAAGCACGGGTCTCTTTGGACGGAAAACAGGCTTAGTCCCAGGTTTCAACCGAAGCGTTGCTTTCATGGCAGAACACCGATCCAACCCAGGTTGGAAAACAGTTGAAAACTGCATCATTAGCTTCCTCGTATATGTTTGGCGACTTGATCGAAAACAATGCTCACTGACAGATTAAGAAATGGAGATAAACTTTGGATAATGTTTCGATAAAACAGTTGCGGTAATAAACAGATTAAATGTTACAGTTTTTTATTGATATAGCACAAAGTAATAGGAAGATAAATTATAGACAACGACATACGTTACTGAATATTAGTAAGTAGTATAGTTGATAAAAAAAGAACCGAGTGAGAATAAAATAAAGATGGAAAGATGAAGCACAAATAAACAGTAGGTATGAATCACGTTAAATTATCAAGTAGATTCCATCAGACATCATCGTGATATCAATACTGATTTTAAAAATTCTTGCTTACTTTTCTTCAATCCAATGTTTAACAGTGCGAATATCCTTCATTATAAAAAGTTACTTTATCATGAAATTAATATGATGAATTTGTAAGCCTAACAATTCTTTTCAGTCATTTTTCACTTCTCGCTAGAACTCGGAGAAGACCAAACGTCCTGGGCTCGAATCCTGTGCGACGCAGGAGTTATGGATGCGCAATGTTGATGAGTCCCATACTAGGACGAAACGGTCATCCATCAGTGCTTCCAGGTTCCTGATGATGGTCTAACACTGATCGATTCATGATTTCAATAATTTGATATTCTCAGTAAGCTTCCTAATTGCAATAACATCAAGACAAATCATAATATCATTTCATATCTATACACCATATTCTATGGTTTTCAATATAAATATTGAAGCTCCATTGGACAAATCCACAAACTACATTCTTAAAATTTCACCAGACTAATTTGATTGGATGTTATTTCTAAAACGAATTATCAGGTTATAAATTATTTGACTCGCATTAACAAGCTCTAATTCTACATGTCTTTAGGCGGTGAGAAAAAAAAATAGAGAAACATTGATTGTTGAACAATTAGTGCTTCAGGTTAAATGTCACAATGAATTCTTCTGTAAATTATTGGAAATTTTATCATATTTTCAATTAAAGTTATGGAAACTGGTGTTTTTTTCCCATATTTGAACTCATCAACTTTTGAAATATCATTGATGAAAGAAACATAAAAATTAGCAGCTTTCTACCATTTCAATTCACTAATTTAATATTGCATTATGGGGTTGTGAAGATTGTTAATTTACACGTTTGAAATCATGAATCGATCGATGTTAGACCACCATTAGAAACTTGGAAACCTTGGATGGCCGTTTCATCATTGTATGGAACTCATAGGTAGTGCGCATCCACGACTCCATCATCTCACAGGACCTTAACCTCTGAACCACTGGGACGATATTTAACGGTGTTAATTGTCTAACTTCGATCAATTCACAGAGTTGATTGATGATTTCAAATGTGTAAAAAAACACTAATCTCCATAACTCCTAATTGAAAATATCGTAAAATGTGCTCTCTAGCGACTAGCTTCGTGAGGAAATTCTCGTAAATCCAGTGAGAAGACGTGACCAGTGGAGTTCAACCCTGTAAGGTGTAGGTAGTAACTACCAAAGAAAATTGGGGAGGTCGCACAAAATCCTTAGATTGATCAGAGTTAAACATCAACAGCGTTGAGAGCCGGCCCATCGGTGCATAGGTTAAGAGTTTTCACTTAAGACCGATGTTCCTGGGTTCGAACCGTGCGAGGTGCAGGAGTCGTGGATGCGCACTGCAGATGACTCCCGTACCA